TATTTCTGATTTCATTTTTCCCAGATCCTCTTTTGTTGCCAGTTCAGAGAGTCCAGGTGGTTGAGTATCAGATTGTTCCATCTGGTTTCCCTTTGGGGTTGCTGTAGGTGATCTGGAAATCTTGTTTTTGAGGCTTTTTTATGTGTCTTCTCATTTCCATGGTGGGGGGGGTGCTTCTGGCACCCATGTGGCTCACCTTCTCTGCCCTAGGAGCTTGGGATGGCAGCAGGGGAGCTTCCTTCCAGGTGCTGGGACTGGCTCAGCTTCTCTGCCCTAGGAACTTGGGATGGTGGCAGGGGAGCTTCCTTCCGGGTGCTGGGACTGGCTGAGCTTCTCTGCCCTAGGAGCCTGGAATGGAGGCGGGGAGCTTCCTACAAACAATTTATAAAAACTTCTTAAATATATTCTTTGGGCTAATTGTAAAGACTGTGCTGATAGCACTTCCAGTGGGAGTGATATATTTAAGTGTATGGAATCTGGAATGGTGTTTTGGTTTGGGAGGACTTTTTTTTTTTCCTGGCAAACCACATGTATTGTTGACGTAAGTCAAATGTCTGATGAGAGAAATGTCAAAACAACCATTGTGAAAATGTTTTAGGGTAACTTGGTGCCTACTTGAAAAACGTATTTATGCTTTAGACTTCCAGAAAGGTTCCACAGAAATAGTCTGCACTTAGTAATGTTCATATGTAATGGTCCTACAGGGAGCTTTTATTTAGCGGATGTGTGCATAGTGTTAGACTCTTGTCTACATTATGCACCACATAATTGGATTTCATTATGCTTTTGAAATGCTCATGGCTATCAAATAAGTTAAACTATTTAATTCATTTTGAATGTTTTGAATTGCTCTACAATACAGTGTCCTAAATTTAGGCATGAGGGTTTATCTTTTTTATTTTTTTCTCCCTTTTTGGTCATCACACTATGGAACACAAATGAAATTCTCTTAATTTATAAAATTATAGTATGAATTGTATTTTGGAAATGGTTGTGATGAGCCATGAAATTCAATCTATATAATATAGGTACTGCTCTTTCAGACAAATAGTCCCTTTTTTATGGTACTGGGGATTGAACTCTGGACCTTGTGCTTGTGAGGCAGGCGGCGGAACCCCTGAGCTACATCCCCGGTCCCAAGTCTATTTTTGATGGCTTTTTTTGTTGAAATTGCTTTTCTGCTAATCACTGTGGTTGCCAAATATTTATTTCTGGAGCAAAGATTTTCAAACAAGCGTATACTTGATGAAAAATACCAATCTGGCTTCTATTTCTGTACACTGTTTAGTCCCTTTACTGTTTGTGTTTCCTCACATTAGCTCCATTTTCGCATCAAAGCAGAATGCTGTCTTATATGGAACTCCCTCCCCCTCCTTTTTTTTTGTTATGAGACCCATGAACAGCTTTCTTGCCTAAATTGCTCATTTTTGTTTACTTACTGGCATGTGAAGAAGGGTTAATTGCTTTCTTAAACATTTCTGTTAAGGAAAGTTTAAAAATGCTGACCTTCAAGTTTTGGATGTTGATGGCCTTACTAGGAGCAGATCTTGCCTGGTGCCTCTCTAGGGCATAGTACTGATACTGGTGAAGGAATGCACTTCAGAATCGCAGTTCAGTTTATGCAGATGCAGAAGTAATTTCAAGAAACAAATGACTTACTAAAATTGCTTTTTATTTGCATAGTTTTGAAATTGATGAGATATTTTATTAATATTTCAGGCATAACTTTTAATTCAAGAATGTCATTTTACCAAAAGAAAAATTTGAAAATTTCTACTCAGGTTATTGGGATTAGTTATTAAAAGAAAAAATTAATAAAACCAATACATAGTGACTGCTTATTTTTAAAGCTACATTAGTTGAGATAGACCAGTGATTATTGAAGACCTAAATTGTATCATAATATGAAAAACATTTTTTTTTTTTAGTTCTTTTATTGGTACATTTTAGATATACAGTTTGTTTACATTTATCATTGGGTGTTTGTACATGTACGTGATATATCTTGGTTCTTATTTTTTTTCCCCATTACCTGTGCTCCCTTCACCCCCTCTGCCCTTCCCTATTTACATAGATTTCATTTCCTTTTTTTTTTTTTTTTTCTTTTCTCATAGTTTTTCCTTTCCCTCTTTTCTTTTCCCCTTCCCCTCCCTTCACTCCTTCATCTTTGGACCTTTTAAGAAAAACATTTTAAAAGCGACCTAAAGTTGCTTTTGAGAAAAAACTAGAATCAGGGATGAGAAAGAGACTTAAATTTCATTATATAGCTTGAAGTGATACTCGTTTTTTTAATCCTTTAGATGTTGTCTCTTGATAAATCAGTAAAATACACAGCAGAAATGTTTTGTTTATGACTATAGTTTGGAAAACAATGGCCTCCACCTAATTAGAATAATAAAAATTTCAGAACATAGTTTAACTTAATGTCTGAATGCATATGTTAGAGATTTAGTTCCCTTAGAATGCCAAATTTTCTCTCTTACTTTAGGATGGAAGCAAAGTATTTACAGCATCGTGTGACAAAACTGCCAAAATGTGGGACCTCAACAGTAACCAAGCAATCCAGATAGCACAGGTGACAGAACTGCAAAAGAGCGGGCAGGGTCGGGCTGGTGATCATTCTTTCATTGTAATAATTCTCTACCCTGTGGTACAAAGTGCAGTTTGCCTATAATATACCAAGTCACATACGTGTGCCAGAAACCTCTTTAGTACAAAAGTAACACCAGCTTTAGAGCCATTCTCATTTTCATAGTATTTCACAGAGCGTTTGTGCTAAGTCCTTTGTGTATGTGTAGATGGCATCAGATAGGTGTCATGGGTAGACATGGACACTCACGTGTTTGAATCCCAGCACTGTGAGTTGCCTTTTCCTGGCTGGATTTGGTCACTCGTCATTCAGCATGTGTTTGTTAAATTCTTACCATGTGCTAGGCACTGTCCTCAGGAGCTAGAAATACAGCAGTGAGTAAGCGGGACTTTTCCCGCGTGCCAGCAGAGCTGTTATAGTCTACCTAGTGACAAAGCCATTTTCATGAGATGAATGCTGAGAGAAGCAGCAGGTGAGGAGAGAACCTACCACTGGAGGGCCCTGCTCTTTGGGGACGTTGAGGAGCAGCCTCCTGACATGGACACATGTCCGCAGCAGTGTTAGTGCTCTTGAGATCACAGCACTGCACTAGTGTACTGATCGTGGCATGTGCTAGTAGCATCTCCCTGACCTTAATTCCTGTCTCCTCGGTAAATAAAATGGTGCAGTTCTTCACTAGTTGTTTCAGATATCCCCCAGGGAGGGACTTACTGTCTTGTGAGTAAAAATCAAATTAGAGTTTGTTAGAATGGAAGTGGATGTGTATTCCTTTGTATTGAATATTTTTGGTCATGGGGAAGCACTGAAATAGCTTTGGTTTTTGTTGCTCTGATCTCAGTATTTAAATTACTCTGCCTTTTTTTGAATTCTACAACCAAAACTCTAGCACACTGTTACACTGATCTGTTTGTTTTTCTTTTGTGGAAAGCATGATGCACCTGTTAAAACCATACATTGGATCAAAGCTCCAAACTACAGCTGTGTGATGACCGGAAGCTGGGATAAGACTCTGAAGGTATGGTCCGAGGACCAGGGACTGTATGGCCTGATCACGGTGGACACTTATTCTTACCTTGAGTAGACTGCAGCTCTGAACAGTCACTTCCTGCTTCTCCTTTTCTGCTTTCAGTTTTGGGATTCTCGGTCATCAAACCCTATGATGGTCTTGCAGCTCCCGGAGAGGTGTTACTGTGCTGACGTGGTAAGGAGCATCATTTCCTTTAGCATTTCTCACCTATCACCCTCAGCCGTTAGCAGGCAATCTAAAACCCCTCAGCAATATCAGTAGATGGAATTCACTTTGCCCTAGTTGTCCTAGGGGATCTGAGGACTGCATTTATTCCAGAATTACTAATTGCTGGTGGTTTGGGTCACTCGTGTGACCATGTACACCTAGCTACATGTCATACCTAGGGTAGCATTTACCTTGTGCTGGTAGAAAAGCTTGTAGTAACTTTGTGATATGGTTCTTGTATTTGGAACTGTCTCTGAATAGGATGGAAAATAAAGAATTTTCTCCATCTATTTAGTCACAGTCTTAAGGTCTTGTATCAGCTATCCCAGTAATTCCACTTTGGGGAATTTATCCTCAAACTGATGGGTGTAAGTGGTCTTGCTTGATATAATATAGTGAAACATTGAAAGTGACCTAAAAGGCTGACAGGGTTAAAGGAGCCCTGTGACCCTGCAGTATGTGCTTTGGAGGGAGCTCTTGACAGCCACTCTGGTATTCTTGGAAAAGTGAGGAATCGGCTGATGCTCATGCCATGTGCTTTGAGCAAAGGGCACGGATTATACAGAAGTGTTTATACACATAATGGTCAGAAAAAAGACTGGAATAAAATGTACCATTGTGTTAGTCATTCTCGTATATAGGTGATTTTATTTCTTTTCAGTTCCTCAGTATTTTGTAAATATTCACGTATTTTATAGTTTTAAAAAAGATGAGTTTATTTTGAGGGTCCTACTTTCAAATACAATTTCTCTAGGTTTTTATGAAACATGTTGCTGTCACTGAATTATTAAACTTGGAGAATTTTGTGAGTTTAAAAATTGATCGAGGGCCAGGGATTTAGCTCAGTGGCACGGCATCTGCCTCACAAGTGCAAGATCCTAAATTCGATCCCCGGTACCAGGAAAAAAAAAAAAAAATCAATCGAATACTTGGTATAAAATCCTGTACCGTTCATGTCGAGTGCATCTCTGTTGTCCTGCATTCCCTAGATATATCCAATGGCTGTAGTGGCAACAGCAGAGAGGGGCCTAATCGTCTACCAGCTAGAAAATCAGCCTTCGGAGTTCAGGAGGATAGAGTCCCCGCTGAAGCACCAGGTGAGTCAGTCCAGCGTGGCACTATGGCCGTTGTAGGCAAGATAGTGCACACACCTGAGGTGGAAGACCCAGTGTTCTCAGAGGGTGAATTAAAGGAGATGACACAGTATTTAGTGAGTAGACCCTGCTGTCTGTGCATGAGCCCAACTCACCCGTCCTCCCCAGACCTCTCTGGTGGCCAAGTGCTGCTGAGTAAAGTTGCACATCTGATGGCTGGTCCCGTTAAAATTTGTCACTACCAACCTTAACTCTGCCCCCTCACACTTATGTGGTTATGAGGTTTTCCTCTTCAGTTTTCCACTTGCCACGGGACTGCTGGGTCTTCCTCATCCTGCTCAGAACAAAGCTGATGTCGATTGTCCCTGTCCCTGTCCCCGTCTGGGGATCTGCCTGTGCACACGTTTTCCCTCACAGGGACCTGGCACCTTCAGTCGCCTCCTGCAGGACCAGTGGCCCTGCAGCTCCTTTGTGTTTCTCGCAGAGGCCCCAGCCCAGCAAGGTCCAAGCCAGACTTGATTCTCTTTGCTTGGGTTGCCTGTGCCTTTGCTGTTGTATCCAAGAAATCATTCCTGAGATCGGTGCCGTGAAGTGTTGACCTAAGCACTGAGCGGGCTTAGATCTAGTGTGGCTGGGGAGGGAGAGAAAGGAGCAGACTCCAGATGCTCTCCAGATGGCAGTGAGGGAGCCCGATGAGGTGAAGAAAGAAGAAGGGAGAGGTGAGTTGGGAATGGCTCCTGGCGCTCCAGCGAGACACCAGGAGAACAGGAGTCCCACCTGAGGACTTTGGGGCACTGAGGAGGAGCAGGCCAGGCGTGGCAGGGGAGTGTTTGGTGCTGGGGCAGTGGCCAGAGAACCCGGTGGAGCGGGAAACAGCTGGGTACAGAGCAGCAGGAAGGGGTCAGACCCTGTGCACTGTTGGAGGGAATGCAGAATCCTGGGGCTGTTATAGGGAACAGTATGGAGACTCCTGAGAACATTAAAAGTAAGGCTACCATAGGATCTAGCAGTCCTTCTGGGTATTTTATCTTGTTGTTGTTGTTTGTTTTTTGTCTTGGGGCTTCTTTTGGAGACAGGGTCTTGCTATGTAGTTCAGGCTGGCCTTGAACTCTCAGTGATCCTCCTGCCTCAGCCTCCCAAGTGCTAGGATCACAGGCATGCACCATCACTCTGAGCTAGGTTTTTATCTCAAAAAGTCAAAATCCACATTTTGAAGAGAAGAGTAGACTCCTTTGTGAATTTCAGTATTGTTAACTGAAATCAATGTGAATAGGTAAATTCACATCCCTTAAAAAGGAAGAAAATGCTGGCATTTTCAGCACCATGGATGAACCTGGAGAATGTCACACTAAGTGAAGTGAGCCTGCCACAAGAGGGAAGATTGTGGTTCCATCTGTGTGTGGCATCGAAACGTGCACATTCACTGAAGTAAAGACTAGAATGTCGGTCTAACTTGTGTGTAGCACATCCTCCTTTGCAAAATGCTGCTCTGTCCGCTTTGTCCTTCGGCCCTCCTTCCCTGTGCGATTGCCCGCGCAGGCGGTGCTGGGGACCCCACCCCACCAGCAGGGTGCTGGGGGTGCCCCGTGCTCCGCTGGAGGGGCTGGTGCTGTGGCAGAGGCTCAGCACAGTGGAAGTGACCCTTTCTAGAGGATAAAAACTCCTGTGAAGGGCCTGGGATTTAGCTCACCTGCCTCGCAAGCGTAAGGTCCAGAGTTCGATCCCACGTACCAAAAAAAAAAAATCACCTCTGTTGTTGTGCTTAGGTAACATCTGTGGTTTTTCTAAAAACTGAAAATGGGCTGACAGTTACTTGCTTTGACATTAACTGTCTTTGCAGTGTGTTAACGTAATTCTCTTTGTAGCATCGCTGTGTGGCTATTTTTAAAGACAAACAGAACAAGCCGACTGGCTTCGCCCTGGGGAGCATTGAGGGGAGAGTTGCTATTCACTACATCAACCCCCCAAACCCGTAAGTGGGGCTAAACTGGCTGGGACTTCCACCTGGGACTGTTTTAGAAAGGAAAACTTAGATGGACCTTTCTTTTTCAGTGCCAAAGATAATTTCACCTTTAAATGTCACCGATCCAATGGGACTAACACTTCAGCTCCCCAGGACATCTACGCGGTATGTTTACAGGGCGCATGCCCAGGAGCTGGACGAGGAGATGGGTGGCTCTCGGGTGATTACCGGCGGGGTGAGTGAGGACGGCCTGTGCGTGCCTGCAGATGGGACTCATGCTGTGTGGTGTAGTTTGTGTCTCCACCGGTGGGGAGACTGGCTTTGATTGTGGGTGGTTGTTGTTGTTTTGGAATGGCAGTAAGACTTTGGGAGCATTTTCCACACTGCTGCTGGTACACAGTTTGTATTCATAGCTAGGACGGAGGAATTGGTATTCGCTGGAAGAGCAGAAGGAAGCCCCTGAGGCACCCTGGTTGGTGTCACCAGCCATGTCCACACCTAACCTCTGCAGCCTGTGTGCATCCCAGGCGGACTTTGCTTTGCCTCTGGGCTGGCAGGCGACTCGGATCGTGGTGGGGGGTGCAGTGTGGTCGAGGATTTGTTTCCTGGCTCCTGCGGGAAATACTGATGGAAGTCTTCCTGTCCGCCTCTGCCCCTCACCACACGTCAACCCTTGCAGGTAAACGGAATCGCATTCCACCCTGTTCATGGCACCCTCGCAACCGTGGGCTCTGATGGTCGGTTCAGCTTCTGGGACAAAGATGCCCGAACAAAACTGAAGACTTCAGAACAGTTGGACCAGCCGATATCTGCGTGCTGCTTCAACCACAACGGCAACATATTCGCCTACGCGTCCAGCTACGACTGGTCCAAGGTGAGAGTTCAAGGGATGTTGCAGGGCCCCTGCCAGGGCTGTGGGGCTGGTGCAGACTGACCAGCCGCCCTCTGCCCCTGGGCATGGGGCCCTGGGCGAGCCAGAGGCCAGCACTTGGGAGAGTGAAGGGATGTGCAGGGGAGGGGCCCAGGCTGCACGGTGGAGCCATCTCTGGTGGCACTCGGGTGGGTGGTGGGAGGTTCAGCAGGAGGAGGGAGGATTGAGCGGGCCCTGGCTGCATTTGGGAAGCCTCCAGTGTGATGCTGACAGCTGCAGGCTGGGGTACGTGCCCAACCACCATGGGAAGGTGCTGCCGCCGGCCTGCATGCCACTTGTCTTCCGCTGTGAGTTCACAGGTCTCCGCTATGTCGTGATTTTCTTCTCTCTCTAGCCTAGTGTCTTCTGCCCTTTGCTGCACAGCTTCATAAAGCTGTATTTTAATTTAATCGCATACAGAGCTGCTTATATTAAAAGCACTTAAAATATAAGCTGAAAATAAGAAAGCTCATTGCTTTGATGCTCCTTAAAAAGTAAGGTGATTTATCCAAGCATTGTCAATCAATACTGGGGGTTACATAAATCACAGTTGAGCCATTTTTTAAACACATGACTTTAAGAATTTTTCATTGTTGGCCAGGTGTGGCACACGCCTGCAAGCCCAGCACTTGGCAGGCTAAAGCAGGGGGGTTGCCTCAAGTTCAAGGGCAGCCTGAGCTACATAGCAAAACCTTGTCTCAAAAAAATAATTTTGCATTATTCTTAGTTCACACAGTTATCCCAGTGTGAAGTCATGGTTGCATCTCACGGATACTGGCTTGCTCCTGGGGTGTAATCATTAAGAAAAGCTCTTCGCACACTTTGACCGTTGGTGGCTGTAGAACTTGTAAGCGCACCTGCTGGTGTGAGAATAAACTCGTGCCATCGCAGGAAAGGGACGCCAGAGCTGCGCCCGCCCAGGCTCCTGCCTGCTCCACTCTCAGCTTCTCTTCCTCGGCTCAGACCTCATTGTGGCCCTGGTCCGCACACAGCCTTGGTAGCTGCTAGCCCGTCTCCCGAGGGCCCCCTCAGGTCCGGGACTTTGCACAGGAGACTAGGACTACCCTGGGCCTCTGCTTCCCCCTGTGGGGCTGCTCCTGTGACGCGGCAGGCCCAGCCGTCCCGCCTGTGAATCCTGTGGGGCCCAGGCTGTTGCCTGGGCCAGGGCAGACATCTGGCACTGAAGTCTTGGAGGCTGGAAAGGGACTCTGCCAGAGATAGTGCAGGCCCAGCCCTCTCGGCAGGACGCTCCACAGCAACTCCGGGCCCTTCGCCATGCTCCAAGGACATGGCTGTTGTTAACATTTGGCTTTTCTCTTCACGGTCTTTGTGTTCGTTCCTGCCAGGGATGATATGCTTCAAGCCCGTAGCTTGAGAGTCATCATAGAAAAAGTGCCTGCAATTGCTAACTCCTGCTTTTTAATAATACAGTCTTTGGATTTTTTCCCTCTTTAGGGACATGAATTTTATAATCCTCAGAAGAAAAATTACATTTTCCTGCGTAATGCAGCCGAAGAACTAAAGCCCAGGAATAAGAAGTAGCGGCCTGACTGGTGGGGTGTCGAGTGTACGACCACCCACGCTGCCTCATCTCTAAGACTTTAGGCCCCAGCCGTCGGTGGCTCCAGCCATGCACGGGAGGAAACGCTGTTGTCATTGTTCAGCTGTTCAGTCCTTGGCCACTAGCCAGCTCCATTCTGCTACCTGCTGCAGTTTTCCTGTGCCCTAAGGAAACCGAAATTTCTACAGAAGTTGATTCTGGCGGGCAGTGCCAGGTATTGGCAGTGCCTTTGCTGGCAGTTTATGTACTGGAGAGCATTGGAAAACTGTCTGTGGGCCCTGACTGTATTTTGTAATAAAGTATTTTGAAGACTGCCTAGTGGCTCCTCTGTTCTCTCCCGGTGCCCTGCCCCATAGTCTCGGAAATGGTCGTCCTGCTCAACTTTGGCTTTTGAATTCAGACTTCAGACCCCTTTGGGGATTGCAGAAATCTTGCACCCTACGTATGAAGGAATCCTGAGTTGTGATTTCTTCTGCCACATGAGATGTCTTGGCCCCTCCACGCTTTGGCAGGCAGAGCTTGAAGTGTTTTTCTTTTGCTTCCTGCTTCCCAGCCCTGCTGGCTGATTTCCTAGTCCCTGATATGAGGACTGTTCCTCTCGCTGAGTGACAGGCCTTTTGCGGGCTCCCTCGCAGGCCCAGGCAGGTGATAATTACATAGCCTTCACATTAAGAACCCAGGCCTCCTGCATGGGACTTGCTCTTGAACCCTAACCCCCAGAGTGGTCATTTGGGATGTTTCTTTTACTTCATGTAAGTTAAAATTCCTGGCCATTGAGTATCCAAGATGAAACTCAACTTAGTGTTTGAAATTTGGGTCTGTTGTAATTTTACCCTCTGGTCCCAAATGCTTCATATGCCTTATTGTTTGGGGCTGGTTTGTAAATTCCTAATTTGGTGAATGTGAAAATCTGCTATCAGTAATATTGTAAGCTATGTTTGCCTACTCATAAAAAATGATGAAAATAAAATCTGCTAGCTGACACTACCTGCACTCAGTGGTTTAAATTCTTTGCCAGATCTTAAGTGAATTGAGGCCCACTAACTCTTGGCCCCTGTTTTTCAGGCTTAGCATTTGGATTTTAGAGAGAAATGGCAGGTGCAATAGAAAAATCGGGATTTTCAGCTTGTTTATGAATCAGACCTGTGGTTTTACAGTCTACATGTATGGGAAGATCTAGTAAGTAGAAAAGATCCCTGAGTTGAGAGACTCAAGCTTGATCATCTTGACAGCCAGCTTTCATGTGGGGTAGGAATGTTCTTGTCAGCTTCAACTTAGCCCGAGTTTCATTGTTCTTAAAAAGTGGCTGTGTTTGGAAATGACAAAATCACCGCCTGTCATGGGCCTAATAGGATTAGGACGTGTGTGCCACGTCACCGGGAGCAGTTTCTGTAGTGGATAAGTTAAGATTTGCTTACATCCAGTATGGGACCTGGCCTCCCTGAGAGCAGAACGTGAGTGGGGTAGCTGAGCCCCTGGCTCTGTGCGGGCAAGGCAGTGCGCTGCACGTTTGTGGGTGGTGAGCCGGTAAGGGCTTCAGTGAAATCATTAAACTGGGAAGTGTTCCCACACTTCCTAGAGTGCAGAGTCTTCGAGGAACGTCACCACCTCTAGGCAGGTGGACAGTGTGCTGATGCGGTAGGTGCTCAGCAAGCACTGCTCACTTGATGGCATCTTCTGCTTCAGAAGAATCCCGGTGCAGCCCTGACCCTTCAGTGTCAGGCCCGTTTATACCATTAAAAGTAGAGCTGCTCTCATTGAGAGGATATAAGCTTCATGCAGAAGACACGTGACCTTTCCCTTCATTTTTCCAACATTGTACAAAAATCAATTACAAAAACATTGGAAGAACTTGACAGTGAACGTGTGTCCTACTTGGATTCCACCTAGTGGTCCTACACACTGGATTTGTATTTAGTCTTTCCCTTTGGTTTTGCCAGGCTTTTCTGCCACTGCTCTTTGTAACCCGTGACCTGGCTACTCATGGTGGACACTGCACTTGGTGGTGACCATTACATGGAGAGATGCTGCCGAAAAGAGGGATAGATGGGGATTAGAAAGGCGCGCCTTTCCATTGCTGTCATTTGGTCTGACCCTGTGTTCGATCCTCAGTACCAAGAATACTGATACAGTGAAGTACTAAAGATGAAACATGAAATAATACAATAAAGTGAAAATACAAAGTTTCTTTTTTTTTTTTTTGGTACTGGGGATCAAACTCGGGACCTTGCGCTTGCGAGGCAGGCAGTGGAACCACTGAGCTAAATCCCCGGCCCAATACAAGGTTTCTTGAAGGGACAAACATACATCGCTAGAAAGCTCTACTGGTGACATAAAGTGTTAGCTACTTGACCAGGCCCATGTGCCATTTTGGTGGTGATTTGGGAAATATTTTCTCATTCAATCACAATTTGAGTCTCCATTGGAAGAGGGCTCCATAAAAAACAAGCTAACACACAGGGTTGTCCAAGCTGGAACCTTCCCAATGGAACCAGGACCACCTGGTAAATTGGGAAGTGAATGTAGTTCTTCCAACTGGCATTGTAAAAATTGGAGCCACGGGGGCTGGGGATTTAGCTCAGTGGCACCAGGCCTGCCTTGCAAGCACAAGGTCCTGAGTTTGATCCCTGGTACAAAAAAAAAAAAAAAAAAGTGGAGCCACGAAAAGAGTACAGAATATATTCAAGTGCATCATTCCAAATGTGATGTGCTTTGTTACATATGTGTCTATGTAAATACACATTGATAATTGTTGAATATCGTGGGGTGCGATTTTCCTCTGTCCTTGTCACTTCCGCTGAGTTTAGGATGAAATCTTGAGGTTCAGGAATCTTTAGCACTTCCACAGGTACTGAGCCAGAGCTGCATTCTCCTCTTAAGTGCAGGGGTGGGAGGGGCAGTAATTATATGGATTATAAGGTGACAAATAGCCACACAACACTGCAGGTAAGAGTTCACGTTGGGCTCACAGCCTCCAGATCCCAACTGTGTCATCAACTTCGAAACCAGGAGTGTGGTTTCGACCTCTTCGAGCCTCAGTGGGCTCATCTGTAAAATGGGAGACGATGCAACTTTCATCATTAAGCACTGGTTGAGCAGAGATAACGCATCTCCCAAGGGGAAGAGACCTCGGCAGCTGGCCCTCGACAAGTCTGCAAATGTGCACTGCCGCTTCTGTCACTGCCAGGTAGGATGGTGACTGCAGGAAGTTTCCCATTCCCCCCGGACCTGCTGTCGGTGTGCGGCTGCACTAATGCGTAGGCCAAGCTAGACCCTGGCCATCTTGAGATTCTCTAGGTGAGAGGCTGTGTTTCGGTCAGGCCAGAAGATGGTGCCAGTGACTGCTCCCCATGCTGAAGAACTGACACTCATCCTAGCTACTCAGAAAGCTGAGGCAGGAGGATTGCAAGTTCGAAGCCACCTGGAGCAACTTAGCAAGACCCTGTCTCAAAAAACAAAAGGATTGGCTATTACTAAATTGCTTACTAAACTATTAAGATATTTGGAAAGTAGAATTTGAAAGACTGCTTTTCCTGTTAGAATATTCTTAATATACTCTTTTGTTAGAAAGAGGGAAGCCTCCTTAGAAAATGCTAAGCAGTCTGATCCCTGATTCTTCTATTTCAAACTTAATGTCTGTTAGTTTCCTGAGGGGATCCCAAAGCCTGGTGCTGCCGGGGCCAAGGGTCCCTACCCTGGTCGGGAAGGAAAGAGCAGGAGCTTTGAGTCTATCCCAAAAGCTCCAGGGTCATTTTAGGACTGGCTTTAGTAACTTTGAAGGCACTGTGTGAGTAGTACTAAAATCCACAGCAGGTTTTGAAGGCTTAGCACAAAAAATGAATGGAAATATCTCATTGATTTTAATACTGATTACACGTTGGATAATAAAATGAAAATTTCTCCTGGTATTTTAGTCCATTATGCATTGCTATAACAACACATGAGCCTGGATGCTTCATGATGAAAAGAGGATTAAAGTCCAGGTGTGGTAGTGCACTCCTGTGATCCCAGCACTCTGGGAGGCTGAGGCAGGAGGATTATACATTTGAGCCCACCCTGAGCAACTTAGTGACTTAGTGAGACCCTGTCTCAAAATTTAAAGGGGTTGGGAATGTAGCTCAGGTAAAGGCCCTGGGTTCTATCCCTGGTACCAAAAAGAAAACTTTATTTGGCCCAGGATTCTGGTGGCCAAAAGTCTAAACAGCAGGGCAAGGATCCCTGCGCTGTGTCCCAACCACCATGGTGGGGCTCCCATGGGGGGACTCCCAAGCCAAGAAGGCACATGCTTTGGACCCCTGTCCCTCTGGCTGGCTCTGGCCTGGCCTCTGAAGGTGCCACACCTCCCACCTCGCCACCTGGGGCCCAAGGGCCAGCTTGGAGTTCTAACCTGAATCTTCCACATCCGGGGCCCCAGGCTGCTTCTCTGGGGCCCTGCTGGGCTGGGCCCTTGTACTTTTGGAGATGGCACCCTTCATCACACCAAATACTACAAAGCACCCATGTCCTGCCTTAGATATACATTCTTTTACAGACAATTTAATATTAAGACATCTTCCATATTTTACTTCTGAAATTATTTAGCAGGAAGTTCATTCACGCTTAGCGATGTTTTCTTAACCACCCCCTTACTGTAGGGAATTCCTCACCTCGGGCCTCCTTCCAGGGCTGTGGACACCAGCAGGTGCACTGACTGTTGGAACCCTACCATTCCAAGGGCTCCCTAGTAGATTCTAAATGCTGAGGAGCTCTGGGTTATTGGTTTTATATTTGGAAGTCAGCACACGTGCCCGTGTGTGTGTGTGTGCATGCGCAGCTGGAGATTTTATTGTGACAGGTGTTCCATCACTCCAGGGCAGACAGGATGAGAGAAAATCAGTTTATGGCGGGTCCTAAGTCTATTGCAAAGCTTTTACATCATGCAATTGAGGTATGATCTGCATACAAAAAGCTGCACGTGGTTAAGGTAGGCGACTGGAGGTGTTTGGAAGTAGACAGGAGACGCCCACGAAGCCATCCCCATGCCATAGGAGCCTACTGTGAACCTTCCATCAGTGTACTGAAAATATCCTTTAAGAATGGGAAGAAAATGTGCAAATGAGAAGGGGAACAAGGGAGGCGGGAGGGGAAAGGAAAGAAGGAACAAGGAAAAAGAATAGAAGGAAAAAATGAAAACAGCTTTTGTAAAATGGAGGGGAAGAGGGGGGGAAGGGAGGGGGATGGGAAAAAAGCAGTGAGATACAGCATGTCCAGGTGCAAAGTCCTATGGCAATGTGATCCTTGTGAATATCAAAAATGTACCGAGAAATGTTTTGCTTCCAAAAAAAAGTCTCCTTTAAGATGAAGGCTTATCTCAAAACAAGTAAGAAAAACCTGTTGCACCCTTGCTTAAAAAGTAAACCAGTTCCTGAGAAGTCACAGGCTGTGGGGAAGCAGAGAAAAGAAACATTCATGGCGGCTCCATCCGGGCCTTCAGTGGCCCTGGGGCTGGAGACAGCAGCTCTCTCTTGCATCTACACTTCTCTGCTCCCAGGCAGAATCATAGCTTTTTTTATTATTATTATTACTTTTTTTTTTTTCAGTCTCACTATGTAGCCCAGGCTGGCCTTGAACTCACAGAGATCCCCCTGCCTCAGCCTCCCACGTGCTGGGATCACAGGTGTGCGCCACCACACAGCCTGGTGGCCTTTAATACAGCTTCCTAACACTCCTCTGATCAGCCTGCAGGCACTGATCACTAATCAGACCTCCTGAGAGTACTGGGGCTGGAGAGGGGCTGGCCACAGCTTGGGCTGCCTCAGCAGGTGGGCTGGATTCTAAGGGACTCTGCCCCTCCAGCCTCCCAAAGCCATGCCCCGCCTCTCATCACATATGGACTGAGACAGGTCCTGTCCGGAGGCTCCGTGCTGGTGCCCTGCAGTTAGAAGCGCTTGCTTAAGCTTCTGGAATGCACCCTGGGAATCAGGTCCCCAGGTTTAAATATGGGTGTC